CAGTGGGTCTTCGTCTTCGTCTTCAACCAAACGACCAAACCGACACTGCTGCCTGGCCAAATTTCCGCTGGGCTCTCTTGAAGATCGCCCAGCTTTCATATGGTTGCAGGTTGCTGTTTGACTCATCAGCTGACCGACTGGTGCTATTGCATGCTGGAGTGGGTCTTTCGTCTTCGTCTTCAACCAAACGACCAAACCGACACTGCTGCCTGGCCAAACGTCCGCTGGGCTCTCCTTGAAGATCGCCCAGCTTTCATATGGTTGCAGGTTGCAGGTTTCCCATCTTCACTGAACACATGACCACTCCAACAAAGGACTCGGAGCACTCCCATCTTCACAGGAACCACCAAGAACCACCAACCCGACCAACCGTTGCGACCCGACCCACCGACCCACAACGTTCCAATGGGGTCCTTTCTCTCGCTGCGTGTTGTCACTCTTGGACTTGACTGAAAGAAGGAAGCTGGTTGTACGCCGCCGAAAGAGAAGAAGGCATGTCTTGGAGAGGACGAACCAATCAACCAACAACCAACCAATCAACCAACGACAAACCAACCAACCAACGACAAACCAACCAAGCAATGGTCTGAGAGCGAGCTACAGCCCTACGGTACATGCCGCTCCAGGAGAATCGAATCCGACTTTCTTGATGAGGAATGAACGGCCAAGAGCACCACTGTCAACGACCGACAAACAAGCAGACCTACGAGGAAGAGACAAGGGTTTGAGGCGCCACGGTTTGCTTTGATGAATCGAGCAGCTGAAACAAGGGTTTGAGGCGCCACGGTTTACTTGGATTGAATGAAACGAGCATCGCAAACCGCCAAACAGAAGAACCGACTTTACCTTTGCACGAGGACGAACCAGCCAACCCAATGCTACTCAGCTATGAACTGTTCCAAAACCACAATCGGCTATACCATGGACCAGAGCACGGCCTTTCACCCGACAAAGGAAGGAAGGAAGGAAGGAAGGAAGGAAGGAAGGAAGAGAGCCATCAGCTATGAACTGTTACAAAACCTCAATTGGCTATAACATGAAACAGAGCACGGCCTTTGGCAACTCTTTTCGTGAGCATGATGAGATGACGATCATGGTGCTTCCCTCAAAAGGGGTTTGTGAAGAAGTCGAGGCAACGCTTTTTTTCTTGCTTTCGAACAAACAAACAAACAAACAAACTTTGCTTACCGGGAAGCCTGGCCCCGGCTGGCTTCCGTTGCTAATTTCCCTCTAAAACCCCCTTATATAAACAAGAATCAAAAAACGGTCCTTTTGATTTGAAAATCAAAACGCGTGAAAGGCTCAACGTCGCCTCGTGAACCGTGCATGACGTCATCATATGTTGTCTGCAAAGCTGCAAAAGCGCACATACGTGTGCTCTCAGCAACTCTCCTCACTCTCCTATGCATGGTACCAAAACATACTACTAGTAGCAGTATTTTCACGGGGGTTTACTACTACTGGTAGTAGAGTATCATAGTTGGATTATCTACCGTACGGAAGCGTACCGGTATTAATTAAGCAAAAATACTTGGCTTGAAAGCTCTCTGTCATCTCTACGGCTGTACCGGTACCGGTATCACTAGCTACTCCACAGCTACCTAGATAGATAGCTCTTCTTCCATTGCAGCTGGTTAATGCATTTCTGTTTTACATGTACTGGGCAAGTCAAATTGATCAATTGATACAGTGTAGGTGATAGATCGCCGAGATTCACATATGGTACGTGTATGCATACCGGTACGACTGTACCGTACGAAGAGACCAAGCATTCGGGGTGTTCTGAACGGTCCACTATCCACGATGCCACCCACGTACCGTGGAGTATCTCTTCGTCACGGACATACCGGTACCCTCAACCTTACCGTACGAACGTGGGAAGATAGATACCTCTTTGATTCTTGCCAGGAAGCTGAACAGCCAGCGAGCTAAATTTTCCAATACCTGGTCTCTTCGGCTCTAGCTAGCTAGCTAGCTAGATCTAATGCCTGTCTTGTCTGTCCATGGCACTTCATGGGATTGCTCAGTCAGCCGTCAGAGCCTCGCATAATGTAAGTTCCAAGAAAAGCAGAAAGCAAAAAGCAAGCCTTAGCTAGCTAGAGTACTAGCTACCGTAGCCAGAACTGGATTGGAGAGTGAAGCACAGCACAACACTAGTAGTATACCGTACCATATATAGTTTCGATGAGCTCCTCCCTTTTGGATGCCCGTCATTTCTCAGGTCGTTCGTTCTACAACGTTGCCTCTGTGGCCATTGTGCTCTCTGCCTTTACCAAGTGTGTTTTGGACATGGGCGGTTGGTTGCATCATGATCAGCCCAGCAGTGCCGCCGTTGCCATTGGAGTGACACTGGCGTCGTGTGTGCTTGCGGGATTGCTCGCATTGGCGCTACGGAAATCGTACAAGTGGTACCTGAGACTGCGACGACGACTTGTAGTACTACTGCAAAGCTCACAGCTTAAGATTGCCAACCGTATAAGCAGTAGCAAGACAAAACAAGAGGAACCCACTAGGAATGACAGAATACGAACGAAGGATAATCAGGACTTGATCAAGCCTGCACCTGCACCTGCATTGCAAGCTCAAGCTACACCTGCATTTCAAGCTGCATTTCAAGCTGCAACTACCCCTGAACCTGATGTTGAGGTTGAGCTGACTAAAACTAGTACTGGTAAAATGGAAAAGAAGGATATCAAGATGGATATTCCCTGGGCCACAGTCTTTGAGTTTTTGTACGGTGCGGATATTCAACGAGCCACCATGGCATCCAAGCACCACAATCCATGGAGAACCAATGCCCTCACATTTCATGATCAAGACGAACAGCAACAGGTAGTGGCAGCGCTCCAAAATCGGCTACTCCAAGCCAATCATGCAGACTTTTACCGGTTCTACCACCACCATCATAATCATCACAAGTCACTGCCCAAATTGTTGCATTGTCTAGATCACGGTCGCTACATTCGATGCGATGGATTTTATTGCCAAAAGGATACCCAGTTCCGAGGCTACCTTCGATTCTATCCAGATGGAACCGTCATTGGAGTACGGAGAACCGAGACACCCTCACAAATGGCCCAATGGCTCCACTCTTTTGATGATTCGGTCAATGTACAAGAAGCAGGGGAGCAGCAACAGCAACCACAAGGCGTGGGAAGAGGGACCTATCAAACCGAATTCCTGCCACACACACACCATGACTACCTGTTTCGAACGACCATGACTATAACCTTGATGGGGATTGCTACCTTTCACTGTGTCGGCCTTACGAAATCATCCAATGGCGATATTGACCTCGAATACACCAGCGAACTATTCTTGGATGGAAGTGTCATTCAAGAAGAATACACATTCGTTCCCTTTCCCAGCAAACAGCAAAAACAGCTCAAGGTTGTGGACTAACAACTGTGTAAGCAACAATTAGCCAAGCACTCTCATGACAGACGTCAACTGAGAATACGGCAGAAATAATGACAATCATGCAAGTGAAGCAAGGAGACCTTCCGTAGACAGTAAAGTTTTAAAAAGGAAGGGCCAACAATTCACTCACAGCGGCAACTCATCGAGCCTCAAGAGATGCCTGCCTCGTTCTTTTTGTGGCAAGCCGAGCTCGTCGATCAATACTATACAACCGAGCAATGACTTTTTATAAAAGTCAAGTTGGGGCTCTCTTTCTTGTGCGCACGTGTTTGGTACGACAATCTGCTCCAGCTTCATCAAGCGCAACCTTCTTGACCGGCACGCTAACGCAAGTCCCAATTGGTTGACGCAGCAACATGACACATTCCATGTCGTGGTCCACATGTGCCAGCCAGAGCTACCGCACGATCCGGTGGACGCGCTTGTACCATACCATACCATACCATACCATACCATGCACGGCGGTTGCGACCATGGATCTGCTGTCATTGTCATACCATGGAAGGGTCCAAAGCTCTGCTGGGAACCCCAAGGTTATTGTATTATATTTGTGCGACAGTGGAGACGAGGACTCCCGATATTTATTTTATCCGCCCCCAGGCGCGTCATGCAGTCAGTAGATGAGATTTCGAGGTTTGGATGCAACAAGTCGTTTTGGAAACAATGGTGGCTCTCACTCGTATTACATGGTTTGGGGGCTAAACCAAGAAACAATTGGAAAACGAGGAATGTCAGATAGTTCGTGCCGTATTGGGGAATGTCAAAGCACTCGTGCCTTTCAGAGCCGCGACGACGATCCAACACGCGCTAGCTTGTACCATACGGTACCGGTACCCTCCGTGCAGGGTTGCAACCATCCATTGATCTGCTTACCGTCATCGTCACACCATTGCGACAGTGGAGAGGACTCCCGATATTATTTCCTGCCTCCCAGTCGCCAGCCTAGTTCTGAGATTTCGAGGTTTGGATCCAACAAATCGTTTTGGACAACGTGTGCCCTCTGTTGGGGAGCTGAACCGCCAAGTATCAATTAATTTGCAGCAATCCGTAAGCGATGAAATGTCAGAAACTCTCCATGCCGTATTGGGCAAGGTAATCTTGTGTGCCTGGAAGAACCCTTGAGATGGCCATCCTCCTCTTGTGTGAACCCTGTGCATGCATGGCTCCATCAAACTAAGAGCTCCGACACACCACCGGATTGTAAATTACTTTCTCAAGAGGGGGGCATCACTCTGGCAATGAGGCGGCGAACTGGGTGATAGAGACCTCTATCACCGCCCTCGCTTGGCTCAATGTTTGGTCCGTTCGTGCAGGGCTCTCGTCAACGATTCATGCTGACCGCGAGTTCTTTCTACAGCCTGCAGCGTCGTGAATGATCAATCGAATCAGCGTTCAAAAATCGATTTGGAACGACCAAGAATGGAACCACTGATTGGGAAAAAGAGAGTTACCACACAGAAGCAGCCAATGCCGTCAATGGAGGCTGCTGAATGCCTCGCCCTTCCTCGATGAAGACGTCACCGCTCGAAGCTGAATCCGACCCTACTAACATCAAGCCAAGGGGGAAACCAGCCACCACAGTAAATTTTTGCCTGGAGTCGAGTCGCCTGGGACGCAATTCCAGCAAGCATCGATCTTTGCCTTTCGATTTTGATTATGTATGTAAGTTTTTAGCTTCTCTCGAGTCCATGGCATGCAAATGCTATCCTGAATATGCTCAATCGCCAAAGATGAATCCGATCTCCCAGGCCCTGCCTAGCCATGCTCAAATCTTGATTGGCAATGGCATCGTAGACACAGGGCTTCACTTCTTCAGGATCATGCAAATGGTTGCAGGCATTGTCGGCATCTGCCTCCGTCTTACCAGACTCTCCCAGTCGTCGGCGTCTCATTTACTTGGCAGATACTCGATTGTAAGCAGGTGGCATGACACATTTTGGTCCAACACAACACCTTCGTCGGAGTGGAAGAGCTTGGGTTCAAGACGTGCCATGCTTCTCCGAACTTGTTCGAGTTTTTGATGGCAAACTATCGCGATCCAAGCGAGCACCATCGTGATCGTAACCCCCCCCCCACACACACAGTCCCATGGCAATGCTGTCACTGATGTTGTGGAAAGCAAACGAAAGGTTTTCTTGAAGCAGTCAAGTCCTGACGAGAGGGAAGCCATCATTTCTGTGGAAGGCCCCAAGGAAAAGATTGCATTCAAGACCTTCAAGTCCTTTGTGCGCGTTGATATTGATTTTTTGGGAGGATAGTTGTTTCCTTCCTGTATACCGGCAGGGGACTTTGAGAGATGCACTCCTTTCGACGTCTTTCATGGGAGCCGCTCTTCCGAACTTGTTACCAATGATCTCCCAGACAGCACCTTGGCACTCTCTGCAGCCAATGGATCCACCAGTTCTGAGATACCTACCCAACATTTACATTGTTGACCAACCAAGCCAAGGCAAGTATTCATGCTGATCTACGGCTTGCTGTGAACGTTGGGATCAAAGGCTGAGAAGGTATCCATCTTGTACCAGCCAGCTGAGATGGGACGGCCATACGGAAGGCAATGCACCATCCATGGTTAGTTACGTCTCCATCATGGGGAGCATAGAGGCATCCCTGTAGGCAATGTCAAAGATGCAATCACCATCACGCGGGGTAGACTGAGTCAGGTCATGGTCAATGGTACAAACTTCTTCCAAATGACGACGGGCTTGGATGTCTCGATGATTCATGGTGGGCTGACCCCCGCAGGGCGCAATCGGAGGAGGCCAGCCAAGATGATCAAAAGGAGCTGAGGCAATGTAGGACTTCATGGTCTCTGCTTGATAGTTGTGTAGGCTTGCGTGTTTTTGCCTTTCGTTGAGGACAATTGCTGTTCTACACACAGCACAGCACGACGCATGCGCAGTGGATGAGCAAGGAACCTACATCCCAACATCCAACGCTGACAAGTCCCAATGTGGATCGCTAGCTTTAGCTGGGACATCAAGACAATCACACCCGTTCCTTGTGTAGTGAATCGGGTTTACTATGGATTAGAGAGAGCTAAGATGAGGATGGAGACAGAGGTCAAGGGGGGCACGACGCAGGAACGCAAGGCAGGCAATCAAGTGCGCAAGCAGGGCAACATGGAAACCAAGGATAGGGGTGAAGGCAGGAGGGCAGGGAGGAGCAAAGGAGCAAGACTAGCGGAAGAGATCGAGGGCACCACAGTCATCCCACCGCTTGGAAACCTTGAGAGCTGAGACACGGGAGCCTCTCAAACACAATGTCGTGGCACGGGCAAGAGCTATGCTCAACCTGGCCGAGATGAAAGAGCGAACCACAGAGTAGGGCTTGGACCACTTGTGAGCCAAAAGCTGGGAGAGCCGTTGGAGAACAGCAGTAGCTTCGGCAGCAAAGAGGCCATCAGCAGAAACAACAAAGGGGGTGAAGTGGCGGCGTTGTGCAGTGCACTGAGTGCATACTGAAGCCTTTTTTTATTCCTGAAAATTTTTCTCATGATGAAACTTCCGTTCATTACAGAAACTTCCGTTCATGACTGAAAATCCCGTTCTATGATCACTGAAAGTTTCGTTCATCACTGAAAATAATAGAGTTTTGCTAAGCCTGGCTACTGTTCTAGAGTACCGTACATGACATTGTAATCAGGGTTCGCTAACCAATCAACTATGTACTGGATATTGGTTATTGGTTATTCAACCACTCAATTGGGGGTACTGGTTATTGGTTCTTGGTTATTGGTTATTGGTTATATAACCAATCAATCTAAGGTACTGGTTACTGGTTATTGGTTATTTACCATTGGTTATAGGTTATTTTATAGGTTAGTAACCGGTAACCACTGGTTATATCAATGGTTAACCAAAGGGTATCGAACATGACTCGCAAATCTTGCATCTACCAAGATGTTGGAGTTCATAGCATGGAACAGATACTTAAACTAAGTTCTTATTTATGTATATATATAATCTAAATGCTGCGACTGGCTATGCAACTTGTAAATTAGCTTCTGTGACACCATAGAACCCTGGCGTCCCCTAGTACTAGTAGTAGAACTGCCTGCCCCCCTTACCTCTCAGGACAGGGCTCAGGGGGGTACCCCCTACTCCACGGTTTTTTGACCAGACCCAACCTTAACACCATTAAGTGTACAGTCAACACTCACTAAAAGTGCAGCCGAAATGCTGCTGTTTGGGCTTTGTGGAGTACCTGAGGGTGTTTGGCATGAAGGGGAGAGTTGAACTAACTTTTCATATGTATATATGAGATTCCTGGATGGTGGGGTCAGCACTATGACTCTATCTAGTGGATTCAATCTACGATTTTGGCTCAAAATGGCCAAAAGTGCAGCCAAAAAGGTGCTGTTTGGGCTTTGTGGAGTACCTGAGGGTGTCTGGCATGAAGGGGAGAGTTGAACTAACTTTTCATATGTATATATGAGATTCCTGGATGGTGGGGTCAGCACCAAGACTCTATCTAGTGGATTCAATCTACGATTTTGGCTCAAAATGGCCAAAAGTGCAGCCAAAAAGGTGCTGTTTGGGCTTTGTGGAGTACCTGAGGGTGTCTGGCATGAAGGGGAGAGTTGAACTAACTTTTCATATGTATAAATGAGATTCCTGGATGGTGGGGTCAGCACCAAAACTCTATCTAGTGGATTCAATCTACGATTTGGACCTTTTGGGTGTTTTGCTATGCATACTGTGCAACAGCAGTCGACAGCTATACCACCAGGATAGAAGAGGCCCATGGACATTGATCCCATAGAAGATGGACTCCTAATATAATATAGAAACATGGAATACAACAACATTCAGCATATGTTTGGCCCAATTCGACGATGACATTGACGGCCAGGACAGGAACGCAGAGGAACAAGAGGGGGCCATGGATGACAAAGGCCAGACCCGTGGCAAGACGCAAGGATCACACCCACCAGGAAGCCAGGGGACACCATCGACAATGGAGATTTGGACCATGGAACAGCAGTTGATAGACTGGACTGAACTTACACTACACTTCAAACCAGACCCGGCAAGTGTGAACTGGCTAAGAAATTACAGAGACAAAATGGTTGAGGGATGGCCAGCGAAGAAGGACCCAATGCCGGCCCATGTCCACACTGAGAAGATGGTGAACGTCCTACTGAACGGACAAAAGGCTTGGGGTGGAGGTAGTAAGGGACTACAGTTCTATACCATGGCATGGAGCATGACCTTCAACCAGCTGATGTACCACACCACCGTGCATGAGATCAGCAAAGACGTGGACACGATGCCTACTTCAAACCTAATACGCATCCCACACTTCCCGGAGCAGCACATGCACGATTCAGCACTGAATGCAGTGATGGACCACACAGGAGCATGGTACTTCACCGACGACAGAGTGTGCTCCCCAGAGGCAGTACCCGCAATGTGTGTCCTTGCCGCTTTCATGACCTCAGAGCCATATTTTAC